CTCTCTCTCTCTCTCTCTCTCTCTCTCTCTCTCTCTCTCTCTCTCTCTCTCTCTCTCTCTCTCTCTCTCTCTCTCTCTCTAAACAACCGTCAGTGATTGATGAGAGTTTACGCAAAGTCGACGAATCCATGAACATAGTTGTTGCAAGTGTGTGTGACGCCGACGCTGCACTTGCTTTACTTTGAAAGCTATAAATGGTTCCGAACAATCATGTAAATAACAAATGAGATCCCTTGCTTCCGTATTCTGGTTTCGAAGAGCGCAAGAGAGCGTGCAGGCCGAACTACAAAGACATCATTATTTACGATAACGAGTACGGTGATGGTTTACGAGGCGATGACAACAAAGGATCGAAAAATTAAAAAACTAACCCACAAAGTAATAACGATAAGTGTAAAGTACGGAACATCGCAAAACACAAAAAGACTCTTGAACCCAAAAACATTTGGACATGTAGGAAGAAAAAAAGCAGAGAGTTATTCAAGGGTCATGAATGTTACGGGTGCAAACGTTTCTGTGACGCGTTGGGTATGGAAAAAAAAAAAGACACGATATTGTGCATGAATGTTCACGACAAAAAGACAACCAAAGCAGACCGTCAACACAGCCTGGTTTTTGGAATATATTTTTCCTGATTCGGGTGAATGAGACAATATGCATGTTTACATACATGACACTGTATGTAAACGTTGATGTTTCATAAAGGAATGAAAGATACACGTGTATATTGAGAGAGAGAGAGAGAGAGAGAGAGAGAGAGAGAGAGAGAGAGAGAGAGAGAGAGAGAGAGAGAGAGAGATGCTTGTGTAATCCATAACATTGTGTCATGTGCTGTAATGTATTCGTGCAGCCACTGTACGCTCTCAGCAATTTTTCGGAAATATTGGAGTTTAGTGTGTGCGGACATGTCGAGCGAGAAACACTTGAACGATGCAAGACGAGTGATACAAAATGTTGTCAAGAATCTCGAAATAACTAGCAAACGGTTGCATGCAGCTACAAAACTTGTTCGAAGCGCAGTGAAAGATTTACAAGCAATGCGTAAAGAGATTTGAGTACATGAACAGTGTATGCAGGATAGGGAAAATGCACTTCAGCATTACAAAAACCAAGCGCCCAATGCGATCCGACCATATATCGACGGTCCATATATGAAAAAAACTTTGTTTGACACGAGAAATGTGGGGTGGAACAGCAAGGGTCGTTATCCCGTATGTGGTCGCTACCTGACCGGGAGCACAACAAAGGCATCAACGCTTTGACAAACCTTATGTCATAACCATGTTTCATTATCACAAACATCAAACCGTTCTGTCACACCGAAAAAGACACTGTCATTTCATAACAATTGAAGTGTGGTTGTGATGGCGAGACAGTACAACATTTGTGGGGCTCGTATATCGCAAAGTGCTATGAGTAATACATGAATTTATTGATTTGCTTTCCCATTTCGTCTCTCTCTCTCTCTCTCTCTCTCTCTCTCTCTCTCTCTTGCTTTTTTTCTTTTTCTCCTTCCCTCTCTCTTTCTATATGTATATATTATTTTCTTCTACAGGAAGTTCACGTATTCCTCGGATATGACATCCAGAATCATTGGATCATCGCAAAGTGCGCGCTTACCAGACAATCGCTCAACGGACTACTATTTCCTCACTTATCTTGTAAGAGTTGATGGTCCTGGTGAATTGTCCGCTTTCGATTAGAGGGATAGGCCGGACACGAAGCACTACTGTTTCCGAAATTCGATCATACATGTACGTGTTGTATTTCGGAAAAACACTTCAAGTTCCCACTTCTCAACATGTGTTTTCCATGCGGTACCCGGAGATGAGCTGTTTGAAATTGTGCATCCACTTCTCTGTACAATACTTGGCAGTCATCGTGGAACACTTCGTCACGATGCCATGTGGACTGTATGGATGTGTCTGCTATACGTCGTCGGTAACACAACGGGCTTTAGCGGTCGACTTGTGTCGTTGATTTGACACCAAAGGTAAAGCGTATATATGGATCATCGAGAGAGAAAAAGAGAGAGAGAGAGAGAGAGAGAGAGAGAGAGAGAGAGAGAGAGAGAGAGAGAGAGAGAGAGAGAGAAAAAAAAAAAAAGCTTTTGTGTTGAACGATTTTTGTTCGTGTTATTTATAATATGATATTCCCCAACGCAGACGAAATGTGTTTTACCTGCATGGTATAGTATTGCCTATATAGATTAGAAAACTATTGAGTGACTGAATGAATGTTTTTTTTTTTTTGTAATGTGCTACTATACAACGGTTAGTCAACATGAAACGCTACCAGGTCAGCCGTACTACACTTATTAGATTTGTTCTCTGTGGTGCATGGGGTACTGTGGTCTAATAGTTGTTGCACATCTTGTTTTGTTTTGTAAACTTAATGGCGAAACAAATATAGAAAACAACAATCAACACTATGAAATATAGACCGCCGAAGACTCATGGCTGGTGTGCAAGTCGACGCAGTTGTTTATGGCAATGAGACAAATATCGACCCTTTTGGAGACGAAGATTTGACAGTCGACGAGATAAAGAGTCGTTGGATGGCGGCAGCTGGACTTTTGGAAGAGGTAGTGCTTTATGTCGGGCTTGAGGACGAACTGAAAGAATCTATGAATCTGTTTGTTGGTCGTTACAATCTTTAGCCAAAGCAGAATCGATTCAACAGTTATGTTGCTTTTTCACGCAAGTGCGGCTTCGTGAGATTTCGCCAGAAATTGCCAAAAGAGTTTGAGAACGCAATGCGGGCACGATGGCTTGATACACATCCGCGGGGTTTTCGATTGCGCCGGTCCGATCCACCTGAGAATGCGCTGCCTCATCGTCGTGCGCGACGTTAGTTAGTGTTGCGGGTCATTGGCGACACAAGTCGTTATTGCATGACAAAAAGAGAGAGAGAGAGAGAGAGAGAGAGAGAGAGAGAGAGAGAGAGAGAGAGAGAGAGAGAGAGAGAGAGAGAGAGAGAGAGAGTACACGCAGTCCATGAACTAACGTGGACAGTGTTGTGAACTCTCATGTCATGCGATGCCAAGTTATGGTACCCAGGTAGTGCTGCAAACTATTCATGTGTCGAAAACTGCTCTCTCTCTCTCTCTAGCACACGATAAGTAACTGACACGAAGTCACTCATATATGAGCAAGTTTGTGTTTGATATATATATATATATAGTCTCTTTATTTTTTCAAAAAAAAATAATAAGACAGTATAGTATCATAAATAAATCAGACTTCTCCCTCTCTGCCTACGGTTTACCGGGCAGTTCTATTTGACGATATATATATATTGAAAATAATGAAAAGCAAAGAATAAGAAGAAAGAAACGAAAAACAAATATGTAATCCAAACAAGACGAGAGAAGATTTGAAATTGGGCCCTTTATACTATAACAACATCAGGAGGCTGAAACAATACATACAAATGATAACCACACACACGCAGATACAATCAGTCACTATGAAACAATATTTCGTCATCCCCCGGGTCAGAGATCGATGCCTGCTCCCACTCGTCACCTTCCACTCCCACATCGTTCAAGTCACGATCAACAATAAAAACGGCATTGTCCCCCACGACAATAGTGTCGCCACCGTAGTCGGCATCGTCGTCGATATCGACACACGCATCCCCGTCTCGCATAAAGAGAGCATGGGCCAATGGAGGCGACGAGGATCCCGGACCACCTCCCACGTCACAATCATTGTGTCGAAGAAGACGCTGCGCCCATTTTGAAACCCTGGGCGAACCGAACACGAAAGTCGCGAACCGATCTACCCAAGAGTCGTTAACAGGCGGATTGTGTCGATAGAAGCTTGACCTTGCACGAATGGAAGTCCCAGAAGGTCTGCGCGGTACTCGATTGGGTCGCGCCACGTGTGACTATTCCACCGAATCATCACGATTGCTAACCGCGCCTCCATAGACTTCTCGAAATGCGTAGACTTCTTCCCGTAGATGATCATCGTGCCCTGGAACGTCTCTACTGTCGACGTGTGACGAAACTCGGCGTAGTAGCAGGTGATGTTGGTGCTGCAATGTTTCCCTAGAACCTGGACAATTACTGCGTACATAGTGTCGTGGCGGGTGTACAAAGGCAAACGGTTGGGCCGGCCCCCCTTCTCACACAAAATCTGCCTTTCCCCAATGCACCTCGTATGATCACCTGCCCAATGATCAACGATCATCATGATATCCTCATGCAAAGTCTCAACATCTCTACCCTCATCCCTGAAGAGCTCTGCATCGCGGAGGAACCACATACCAACCTCGTGCGCATGGAACTTTGTCACACCATCAGGATCCACAGTTAAACCACCCCTGTTCGTCAACGTGCCATAAGGGTACATCTTCCTTAGCACAACCCCGACGAAATCTGTTTGCTTCAATTTTTCTTCCTTTGCCGTAAGAACACCCGGTCCAAATTTGTTCGTCAGAGCCGTTAACATGTCCTTCTTCGTGGATTGCATCAACCGAGCTTCCAACACGCAATCATGAGGGCTATTGAACTTCTTCGCCAACTTCAACTTCAAGATGTTTTAGAAGTGCTTGCGAATGTTCTTGATTTTGTGGTGGCAGTCCTTCTGCCAAGCAATATTCAGATTGCGGAGCTGAGGACCCAACGCTGCACAGTCATCTGTCACGACCGTCCTGATCTGCAACCCCTTCCCAAACAAGCTTTTGCAGCAGGCGCACAACAGCCGACACCTCAAGCTGATTGGACGCCTTGCCCTCCGTTTCTAGACGAAGAGTGTGGACACCCTACACAACGTCAGTCTCATACTCGATGGTTGTCACACTGCAGTGCTGCACAGACCTTGCCGAGTCGTAGCGCCCATCAATCATCAGAGTGAAAGACTCTCCTGTTTGCATGACCGTTTGTATGACTAACTCGTAATATCGGACACCTTGCCTGCAAACCTTCGAATTCCACCCCCCTGCACATCGGGCTCGGTGCGCATAAACTTAAAGAAAGTGGGCTTATGCACAGAGGACATGCCCAAAGCAACACAAAAGGTATCGGGCAAGGTGTACGCCAGACCCGTGACAACCGTCGCGTGATACATTTGTTGCATCAATCGAGCTGAATACTCATTATTTGCAACAAGCGCCGAGTGCCACGTCCATTTACAACGACGTTTGCAAACGAGCACCAACCGGCACAACTGCCCAGGATACTCGATGGAATCAACCTCCACGCGACACGCACCTCCATGCCAAGGGCAGTACAAATGAAACAACCCCAGCAGCTGAAGCAACTTCGCTGGCTCGAGGAACACGACGTCTGGTTTATCTGGCGTATTCCACAAGGCCATCGTATCTAAAACAGCGTCACGATCTGGGCCAGGACCACACTGGTCAACACCGTCCCCGCAATCGGACCACACCTGCCCACGCGTAGGCGTGGAAGCAGGGCAACCTGCACTGCGGGGGTGACCACGTCCCCTGTTGCCGCGCTACGAACTATGCCCTAATCTTGAGAAAGAGCTCTGTGAGCCGCCAAATGATCCCCCAAACGCACAACTGTATGAAGCAGAATCAACCCTAGTATCAATGTCACCTCCTGATTCGGTCATGACATCTCCCAAACGAAAATGTGGGTCACACACACGTGCAGGCAATGTCGCAGAAAGCACATCCGCAATGGCGTCGCCGTACTCTTTCTTTATCGATGGCAAAGACCAATGCATCAAACGATTGACGACGTCGGTGATGGGTCCATGAGCACCACTCATAACATTCATGGCATCACGCACCCTGCGAAGTCTGTCATGAGTACTTGCTTTCATGCACATTCGTACGACATCATCGTCATCTCCACGACCAATGGATCAAACGATCAACGACGTCGGTTACTAAGACCAATGCATCAAACGATCGACGACGTCGGTTACTAAGACCGCTCATCATCATCGTCATCTCCACGACCGACGTCGTCCGAGCAATCAGGAGCGGCGTGTGAGGAAGAACGAGAAAGGGAAGGTGAGCGTCCTCGACTCGCAGTCGGACGTACGAATCCACCATGGGAAGGTTCCAAACGGGCAACATCATGAAGGATTCCCCCAGAGGCGACAACATCGGAAGACCGTATTTGCCCGGGGGGATGTGCCCACACCGGAGCCAAAGGGACGTTGCATCCGTAGTCCAACCATCGAGGCCGCAGAGGGGACGGCAGCAACGGAGCGCTAAGCACACCATCATGCGTGACTGCATCAGGAATTGGTAATGAACCTCGCGGAGAGCAGCCCAACAAACCGGGCAACGAAGTACGCTCCATCAGTCCCCCCGGAGACATGCGGAGAGAAGTTGGCGAACCTTCGACACGGGGTCTTTTCCCCAAACGCCCTCCATCACACCTTATGTAAGGTGACCCTCCCAACGCGACATGCTCAGCAGCAACACAATCAACATCCTGGTTGCGTCCTGAAGGTGTGCCATCAAGAGAAGGCAAGCATGTCGTGGAGCGACCGACGGGAGGTCGACTCCCACTCCCCGACATTGCGAATGAAATGGGTCTGCACGAAAAGAAGCAACGAAATCGCGAAGTATAAGCACTTTGACATTTTTCGACGATGGATTCATTGATTGATTGATAGACTGATATGTGTGGATGATTGAATGAGTGATTGATGGAGATTTTGATTGACTGCGTGATTGAATCAGTTAGTACATATGAGGGGGCGTGATTCTGTGATTGATTGATTGATTGGTGCATCGACGCACACATATTAGTGTGTGTGTGTGTGTGTGTGTGTGTGTGTGTGTGTGTGTGTGTGTGTGTGTGTG